ATATATCATATATATATATGTCGGGCTACTATATTGATATATCATATATATATATGTCGGGCTACTATATTGATATATCATATATATATATGTCGGGCTACTATATTGATATATCATATGTCTGAGGCAGCGTGGTGAAATCAGGCGCTCGTTAAAATAATGAAATCGAAGAAACTGGCATTTTTCTGGCTGTAAAAATTAGGCAATTTTTATTTTTTTTGGTTTTTTGACTCAACGCCTTTAAGGTCCATTTAAAAATACATTTCTGTGTGGATTTTACTGAAATATGCCGATTTAAGGCACAAAAATGTAATTTTGCAGTTTCTCTGGACTCTCAAGCTTTGGAAGTCAACAAACTGTGGCGGCCATTTTCTCACTAATTTTATCTCTGAAACCAGGTGACCCCGACCTCCTTCCATCGCAAATATCTCGACGTCTATCATGATAGATGGGTGTTTTTTTTCACCGAACACAAGACAAATGAACAACCTTTAAAATGATACCACTAACGCCATATCATCATCATATTATATGCCTAAAAATTGACGAGCACCTGATTCCACTGTGTCGTGACACATATTGTATCTTATAATATTATGTATTTTCTTCTTTGTTGTCTTTGCTTGGTACCATGCATGGAAATTGCAGCTGTTCCAGCTCCCAGCATAGAAAATGAAGCATTAAGTAGGTCATAGTGACCGGTGTGCTTCCACTATCTGGCCACACAGCCTGTAGTGTAAGGTTAGGTGACTGCGGGGCTGGGAGCAGCATGGAGGATTTGACACTTTCTTCTTCCAGTCTTGAGCTTTGTCAGACATTGCCCTTCTGGCCCGCTTTTTGATAAGGTTCAAGAAGGGGTCACACTTTCAGCATATCATGTGACTCTCATGCCGTTACACACACCCTTACTGCAGTGCTTCAGTTCTATTTTGTACAAGATTGAGTCAGTCCTACTGACGGTGCTCCTCACTCCTAACATTTCTCCAAGTTTTGACCGTGCCAGGAACTGGAGGGAAGCAGGTACCGGTGAGCGCATCCAATCCACCGCTTCTCTCTGGACCGTCCTGTATTAATCAACGGGCTGTCGGTTTTGGCTCACGTCTGATCAAACCAGCGGGGGAAGAAAAATTGATTCACACATACGTTTGGAAGTTTATTTTGTCAAAACCTTTTTTTCCTGTTCATTAGAAGAGGTAGGCATCAGAGGCATCTCCGTCTAGTTAGGTTTGTCATTTGGTACTGGAGCTGCGCAGTCATCAACTGCTGTCTGCTGTGTCGTGTCAGTAGGAGGATCTGCATCGTGCGCACCACAGGCCTCGTGCTTGATTTCCATATTTTGGGGTGTTTTTTGTCTTTTTCATGAGATGTTTTTGTGTTTTTGCTCAAACGTTTTTGTCTTTTTTCTGAAACGTTTTTAACACCTTACTTGACACAGTGTTTATTCTAGCACTGTTTCATTCACGTTAGCGTCCTGCTTCTCCCAGATTGGTCGTGGAAAAGTGGAGTTCTTTTCTTTCTTGTGTGTCAACCTCATCAGACTGATTTTTTTTTTTTTTGGAGTGGTGGGTAGATGTATTGTTAACCAAAGAAGTCCATGATGTGTGGTATATCATTATATTGTTGCCCCATGTTCCCAGAGTCCATGATGTGTGGTATATTGTTGCCCCATGTTCCCAGAGTCCATGATGTGTGGTATATTGTTGCCCCATGTTCCCAGAGTCCATGATGTGTGGTATATTG